TGGGCTTTAGAGGTCACTTAAGTAAATTTAATAGACTGAAGTTGCTGTTCACAAACACGGAGCAGGGGACTATAAAAACGAAGCAAATGACTGAGCGAATAAAGCTGCAATATCTTATTCTGGTGTTGGCAGTCATACTGAAAGACTGCAGAAACCAATTTGATCTACGAAATGCAAGAGCCACTAGTGGGTGATAAGTTGCTATGGATTTCTCCTTCTGTATCTCATAGGTTGATCCAAGGGAAGGTCTCTCCGCTCGACGCAAAGCGGCTGCTGCAGAAAACATCTTGGCCGACCACAGATTAGCAGCATTACCATGAACAAATCTCGCCAGATATCTGGACGAAACTTCGGTACGAATAATCACCCGGTACACTTACTCTTTTACCATGCGTTAAGGCTTCATGAGTTCAGCACCTCGAAAGGAAAAAAGGGAAAATTGCAGGAGGATCGATAAAATTTTATGCTGAATTTCAATGAACAGTGTATTGATTGAGTAAGCGAATGAATGAACAAAACTCCTTCGTCAACAAATGCAGAATTCGAATTTAATAGTGAATAATGTTGTCAAGCTTGCCATTTACGCTGTTATTTGTGCTAGCTGTCACACGGATATTGACTACAAACGCTGTGGTCTATTGTTTGTTCATTGAAGTACATGATATTTAAAACTTTACCATCTAACCGCATGTAAACCATATTAATTATTGCATAAATCAAATAATGGAGACAGGCATGCTCGTTAAACGGATTTTCGGGGACAGAGACAACGAAGCTCATCCAATCTGCACAGAGTTTGTGTCCCTTTCGCAGGACTGGATGATTAATTCTTCTTTCATCCGCCTCTGTAGCTAATGTCTCCCCTTGATGATGCCGTTCCACACAGACAATCGGTCAATCTATTACAGTTGTAACTACACAGCAACTTATTATTTAAACAGTTATGTGAATTGAAGTTTAGATATTCACGACTGATGGTAGGTTTAAAGTAAACTTTAGCTTTATAATAATTACCAGAGTTTGCTAAAAAGATATCAAAGAAAAGGCAGACTAGAATTATTTCAATTTCAATGGTTAACTTAATATTTTGAAAACGAATGAATTTGAAATTCTGCACGAATAAATCTATCCTCTGCATTACGAAATATTCAAATTTGACGCTTTCACACAAAATACGTAGTTTAGTCGCCTAAACGAACTCGTTACATGCCGAGAACATGAAATTTAATCGTTGGATGTGCGGCCTTCCGCTGGCTGACGATCGAATCGTATTTTCTAGGAGAAGGTCGTAAAAAACGACCGCGAGTGATGTCATTTCGCGGCGGATGTCGACGAGGAAAATCGATTTTTATTCGCCACGGACTTCGAGGCGAGTTTCCACCCGGTCGTATAAAGTGGCGTGGCCTCGAAGGCCAAGGGCACATATATAGAAAACGAGGGCCGGTGCTGTTGACCTACGATGGAGCTCGAACCGGTTGTCGTCGTCCGCTGCGGAGGCCTGCATGGCAGCGCAAGTACCGGTTTGACATTACCAGAAACATGTTCACCACCGAGGCTTGAGTTCGGAGTGTCACCAAGGCCGACGACTGCGAAAACGGTGTGAAGTTAATTCGCTCGCTGTCGTTGCTGTTGCCAAACAGCGCCTCCTGTCGTCGCACGGTTGTAGCTCAGACTGAATTTTGTGCTGCAGAGCAAAGCGGGTCCGTTTTTGCTGCTTAACGACAACGACGACGACGACGATCACCACCGGACGAAGGCGCTTTGCTACGATCCATCGACTGATTGCCAACACGTACGCCAAGTGGCATGACG